CAGCTGCGTGCACTGGAGCAGATCCATTGCTGTTTTATCTGCCCAGCTTTTACACTATGTAACCACTCTCACGCTACTGCTGACTTGACTACTTTAAGCAGTGCTGGGATTCTTTGGTTACAGTGGTGAAGTGGCCTTAATGCTCATATTCCCTGCTGTGGGGCCCCTCATCTCAGGGTGCATCAGACTCACCCAACGGGGATCCAGGTATCACCTGCTTCCCACCTTCCTCCAGCTTCTAAACTCCTTTTGAGGGCATGAGCCTTAGAAACGTTGACACCTTCAGTGCTCAGCAAACCCTGTGCAGGCTGCTGATGTAAAGACACCACAGGCAACCAGGGATTAAATAAAGAAGGGGGAAAGTGCAGCTCCCCCGGCTCTGCTAAAAGCAGTGTTCCTTTTATCCCCCACTCCTAAGATTGGAGAGCATTGCCACCCCCGAAGCCCCCATTCCTCCAACTCCTGGTGAAATGAGGACACTGTAGACAAGGAAACGGAGCAGCAGGAGGAATTGGTGTTCAGCAGTAAAATTTCTTGGGCTTCAAGCCTTCCCCGCCGCTAGTAGGGGAAGCAGCATCAGTATACTCAGGCTCTTGTTCCCTTATGTTTCTTCTATGCAAATTTTGATCCTTTGCCATTTCCACTTTTCCTCTGACAACCCAAACTGGCGACCTTTCCTTCTTGCCTTGATCTATTTTAACCACTGCAAGCAGCAGAATTAAAAGAGAGGTTTACTGCCAGGTCCAGCTGGGAAAAGCCACAATGCTCTGTGCACATTGCAGAGAGAGAGAGAGAGGATTAACCCCATCAGGCCAAATAGGGAGGCATCTCCTGCAGCTGGTCAATTCATGAGATCACGGGCAGAGAAAAGCCAGGGCAGAGAGAGGGCTTAAGGCAAATGAGTGGGGTGGGGAGAGGTGAATGCCTGGGGAAGAAATCGGGAGGGAATAGAGGCAGAGCAAGAGGTGAGGTAGGAGAAAAGATTGGTAAGGAGGAGTTACAGAGAGAGCAGAGAAGTTGACAAGTTGTGGTCATTGAGGGAGATGGGAGGAACAGTAGATGAGAGGGGAAAAAAGAAGGGAGAGGTATGGGGAGGAAGGGGAAAAGAAACAGAAGAGCATAAAAGGGAGTAAATGAATAGAAAGAGTAAAAGAAGATATACACAGAGAACAGAAATGGCATCCCCCTCCCTCAAAAAATGAAAAAGTCAAATACACATGAGCGAGTGAATGAATGAACAGATGCATTAATAAATTAATTGGAAGTAGAGGAGGAGGTAGCATCCAGGTGAGGGAATGGACATGAAATCGGTGGGGAAGGGCACCCAGCCACCAGTCTGTCATCAGAGGGGCTCTAACTCGAAACAGTCGGGGCCTGCGGCCTTAAGGGGACACTCCATTTCAGTTAGTTGGTGATTTTTACTCTAGTTTTTGGAATGGTAAACTTACTAAAAGCTAGCTGTCCACAATAGCTTCTCAGATCTCAAGTGACTTGTTTGCCCCTTGATTTTTTTTCTTTTTGTCATTTGTCTAATAACATGCTTTTCAAGGCTCTGAATGACAGCACTAGTGACAGGGAATGTGTTTTTCTGTCTCCAGAAAAGTGTTTTTTTTGTTGTTGCAAGGACTTCATTCGTATTCTTCTCACCAGTGTGATGTTCAAAAAATTTAAAAGGGTCCTCTGAGTCAGAATTGACCTCTTTGGCTGATGTTGGCATTATTCTCCAAGTCGTACAAGTGAGTAGTGGTTGCCTCTGCAGTTTAGTAATGAGCCATAGCAAGAGAAACATGTATTCTTTACGTAAATAACAGCTTAATCTAGACAGACTGGAAAATAAGGCACTAATTAACCATTAGAACCACTTTCTTAGAGAAGTGGTGGATTCTTGGTAATGTGAAATCTTTAAAACAAGATTGAATGTCCTTCTAAAAGATATGTTTTAACTTGGCCAGAAGTTATGGGCTTGAAGCAAGAAGTATTGGGTGAAGTGTTATGCAGGAGAGCAGACTAAATAGTCATAATGGTGCTGTCATAACTATAAAGGGAAGGGTAACAGCTGTCCTGTGTACAGTACTATAAAATCCCTCCTGGCCAGAGACTCCAAAATCCTTTTCCCTGTAGAGGGTTAAGAAGCTCAGGTAACCTGGCTGGCATCTGAACCAAAGGACCAATAAGGGGACAAGATACTTTCAAATCTTGGGGGGGGGAGAAGGCTTTTGTTTGTGCTCTTTGTTTGGGAGTTCGTTTGCTCTTGGGACTGAGAGGGACCAGACATCAATCCAGGTTCTCCACATCTTTCTAAACAAGTCTCTCCTATTTCAAACTTGTAAGTAAGTAGCCAGGCAAGGCGTGTTAGTTTTCCTTTGTTTTCTC